GGAGTATGCATCCTCAGGTCCAGGGAGGGACAGGACCAAAGGGCATCTGTGCTGGTGTACTATTTTTTCCTAGAATGGACAGAAAGATGGAGTAGAGCTCATGCCTTTTTCTCCTCCTCTTTGGAGACAGGGTCTCTCTGTACAGATGAGATCTGACTGGCCTGGAACTCACTATATAGACAGATCTGCCCACCTCTGCCTCCTGAGTGCAGGGACTAAAGGTGTGTGCCACTGGCCTATGAGGCCATAAATATTTATGGAGTCTTTCTGATACTAGGCATTTGATGACTTTTTGGTAGGAACCAGATGTCTTCCTAACACATAGTCACCCATGAGGAAGGGTTGTTTTGGCAAACATGATGGCCACTTAGCATCACTAAATCAGGTATGAGGATCTGATACAATGGCTGTGTTCTGTCTACATGATTTACTAAAAAGAACACAATTCACCTAGTCACTAGGTTCGTGGATTGTACGTGTCAGACACTCAAGCAACATAAACCAAAAAAGGGCACTTTATTCCATTACTCTGGTGCCCATGGGGTCCAGGAGTCCACACACATCCATGAACGGTTTAGGACTAGAGACACCTGGAAGCCGGCAGCTCCGCCCCTGGGTATTCTGCAAGTATCTCCTTCTCTGTTTACACAGCACTCTGACAACAGCTCCCACAAGTGTGATTTTATATCTTCTTTGTTCAAGGGATCAGCCAGGCTGAATGTATTAGGATTGTTTTCCTTCTGCAGAAAATAACACCAAAAAAAAAAAAAAAAAAAAAAAAAAAAAAAAAAAAAAAAAAAAAAAACCCAAAAAAACAAAACAAAACAAAACACAGAACAAAACAAAAAGCCACAAAGGGCTTAATCTAATTAAAGAATCAAATGGCTCACATAATGGAAAATTCTAGGCTGGCTGGATCCAGACGGTCAGAGGTCACTCACAGACGCAGCCTCTTCCTCTGTGAAGACCGTTTTCTACCAGTTTGTTTCTCTTGGGAGCAGATAAACAACTGAACCACTTCAAGCCTCTCTCCTTCATCAACAGCGTAGTCTTCTGAGATGCCATCTTCATAGGATGGCTCTGGTCAAGCCTTGGTTTAGCCCCACTTTCACTTCTAAGCCATGTGTGTTTTGGGTGGAAGGAATGTGCCCAACAGCCAGGCTTGGGATCCGTACCTGGTCTTAGAACTGTGCCTGAGGCTAGTACACCCCAAATACAAAGCAGTAACAGCAACTATTGTATGTGGCGTCCTGTTTGGGGGTAGAGTTGTAAGCAGAAACTCAGTCCCTTCCTCTTTGTATAAATCATCTTATCCTTATTCTATAGATGGAAAACTGAAAAAAAAAAAAATAAGCCACACAGCTAATACAGTCTCCAACCCATAATAGTTTGACCTTACAACAGTGTAAAAATGACGTGCATTTAATAGAAACCATACTTGGAGCTTTTCCCAGGCTGGTGATATATGCGGCATGAACCTCCTTTGGGATGCCAAGCTGGGCACTAGCTTCCAGTCAGCAGCAAGCTCACAAGGAGGAACAAAGAGCTGTCTGCAGCATTCTGCGTTGCTAAGCCGTATGTTTGTTAGGTCAGTGTATTCTGTGCCCTCTCAACTCACAGTATTTTTCACTGACAATGTACGTGGATGTAACCACTTTGTAAGTAGAGGGACATTTGTAAACTGTAGACTGGGAGCTGACTCAGAACTTGGACCCCAGAAGCTGCGGTTTTGACCATTAGCAGGAGAGAACTGCTCCAGGAAAACAGGAAATAGATCTTGGCAGACAGCAATAGCAGATGCCCACGGCAGCTCTGAATTCTTCTACATAAAGCCTTGGGCTGGGCTTCCACTTGGGTGGGAGGTGAGGAGAAGAGCAAGGAAGCAAGTTGTAGCAAGGTTGACTGCCACTTCTGTGGCCTCAAACATGGGCAAATTCCAGAAAACAGGAAGGACAAAAGAAGTGCCCTCCTCTGTGATTCTTATGGAAATTGCCACATGATGGGAGTAGGCAGTTTTTGTTTTGTTGATAAAAATAAAAAGGTGTTGCAGAGCTGGGGACTGGATGGTTCAGTGGGCAAACCACTTGCCATGCAAGTGTGAGGGCTAGAGTTGGGATCTCCAGGACCACTACCCATCACCTCAGTGTTCCTACAGGGAGACAGGAAAAGACAGCAGGACCCCAGAAGCTTGCAGGCCAGCTAACGTGGCATAAGCAGCTGTGGACAATAGTGACATCCTGCCCCAAATGAAGAAAGTGAGGACTTACACCCACAAGGGTGCTATGGCACACATGTACCCATACATACCCTCTTTCCCTCTCTCTTTCTCACACACACAGAGGAGGGGGAGAGAACAAGCTAGAGCTATTGCAACAGGGAGGGAACTTTCCACCCATCTATCCTCTGAAGGTTTAATAATTTGTCTTTGAATGAACTGACAGTAGACAGAATACTGGACAAAACAAAAGGCAGTTTTATTATATATATGTGGAAAAGAACATGAACACCCCTAAGCCTTATGAGATCTGGACACTTAAAGGGGATCCTGGACTGCAGAGAGCAACAGGAGCATGGGCCTTCTTGAGGAGTCTTGATAGCAAGCTAGGAGAAAGAGAAGGGGTTAAAGCAGAGGTGCCTCAGTATCTTGTTAGGCCCCAAAGCTCTTGAGTAACCAGAGTTGTCTCTGGGAGAAGAGTGGACTCTGCCTTGTGATGGAGAACATCTGAGCAAGATAATGACCTCCTGTGCTTCTGCCTTCCATAGCTGAGGAGCTTCTCAAGAAAGAGGGTACATGACTATACATGACCATCAGTTCCTTTTCAAAAAGAGCTATCCAAAGTGATGAAGGAAAGAGAAAGCCCCTACCAACCTTAGTAGAAAATAGCATCCTCAGACTTCCATGTCAGGGTGGCATTCCCTGAGCCCTACTGTCTATTAACTGCCTCTGGGCTATTTGTACGCTAGCCTATCGGAATGTGCAGGAAGGTGGCCAGCCAGCACCGTGTGAAGGGTGCACATGTGGAGGAAGCACCAAGCTTGCTCCCTATCTGTTCTGTAATGTCCCAGGAGAGGACCAAAGAAAGGAGCGCAGGACATCTTTCCAGAAGGAAAAAGAACAATCATTATATTTAAATATTCTTTAGAACCACCCCTAGACCCTTTTGCATATCTCCAGCAAGACTGAAAGGTCCGGTATAGTGGCTCACACATACATTCCTATTATTCAACAAGCCAAGGCGGGAGGATTGTCATGAGTTCAAGACAAGGCCAGGCTATAGAGAGACTGCCTGAAACAAAACCAAGCATCTAAAACCCAACGAAATGAAGCTATCAGTAAAGTGTCCTCTCAGTTCTTAGAACTACAGTTGAATTAAGGAGTTCTCTTAGCTGCTGCAGATACTGGGAATCAAGAGGAAAACAAGGACGTTTTTACAAGCCTGGCCGGTCTCCAGAAAAATTTCTACCTTGCCAAACAGCTCAACACCCACACTAAAACATTTAAATGTTTTTCCTAACAATTTTTAATTTCGTATGGCTCTTTTGACTTAGTTTGTGTGCTTTATGTGAGCTTGGTGTCTCAAGAGGGCATTGGGGCCCTGGAACTGGAGTCTTGGGTGTTTGTGAGCCAGTATGTGGGTGCTGGGTATTGAACCTGTGTCCTCTGCAATCCTCTGCAAGAGCAGCAGGTGCTCTCAACCACTAAGTCGTCTCTCCAGCCCCCTTCAGCTCACTTTTGAAGTCTCCTAGCTTGTTCACACCCCTGTTCTGCTGTCACTTATGCAATTCTGCAACATCCCGGTTCTCCACAACTACAACAAAGGTTTCCTTCTCACTTCTGCTTCAGTTCTGCTCCAACTGGGGACCTGGTGCTCAAACTGCTGAATGGAATACACAAGGCTTGGCTAGGCATGGTGACACACAACCTTTAATCCCAGCACTTGGGAGGCAGAGGCAGGTGAATCTGAGTTTGAAGCCAGCATGGTCTACATAGTGAGTTCCAGGACAGCCAAGGCTATGTAGAGAAGAGAGATCCTGTTTTAAAAGATAAGGCAAACTCCTGGAGTAGTGAGAAAAGAACAACTACACAGCTGTGAGGCATTATCACCCATGTTCTGATGGCCAGACGATTTATATGGTCAAGTATGAACCAAGGATGTGAGGAACACACCCTGAAGAGGCATTAAAGTCAGGCCTGCAGCAGACTGACCAGTTAAATATGTAGTCTCTCAAGTGCACATTTTTTTTCAAGGATTAAAAAAATTTTCCGATATTCAGAGGACCACTGGTTGTTTCGGTTTGAACTCTGTTTAATGTCTACACTGCTGTATAAGTTTCATTTTCCTAAGCATATGTGTGTACTTTATGAGCAAGTCGATAATACAAAAGTGAGAACTAAGGACAGGGCAAAGGAATACCGTAAGTTTAATACTGCAACTGCTCCTCAACGGTGTGCTGGAGAGCTTGGGGAAGTTTTAAGGTCATCTACAAATGTATACAATCCCCCCCAGCCCCCCCCCGTGTGGATACATTTTCAGTGGAAAGATGGAGAACAGGGAGGCAGAATGGCCAGTCAGATTACAGGAATCTGGGGAGGTCAACCTATTTAAATTTTTGAATGTTTTTCTGGCCTCACAGCATACTGTTTCTTGTGCCTAGTGCTTGGGTCCTCAAAGGAAAGAAATGAGACAGAAAATACACAGAAGAAAGGGGTTTCTTCTTTTAATAGCTGTACATATCAATCGGGTGTGATCTTTTCACTTGTGCATGTAAGTATTCACTGATTAAATTGGACTAAATCTTCCAGTGGAAAAAAAGAGATTTAATAAGAAAAGGGCAAAGGGAGGCCGAGAGGCCGAGCCAGCACAGAGCCATGGAGCAAGTAAGGAGAAAGAACTAAGAGAAAAATGGAGAAACCCGAATAGAAAACTCGGTAACTGGAGGAAAGGGTCTTACAGCTGTCCAGTTTACCCCAGGCCACCGTCCCCAGCCACGCGCTAGCCGACTGGCGCTAGAAACGCCGAGGTCAGACACGCCCCCTACCGTCTGGGAGAGGGGAGGGCAGCCGCGACTCGGCAGGGCCCGGCGCGTGGACACCCGGATGGCGGGGCCGGAGGACGCGGGTTTGCAACCGAGGCTGGAGGACAGGATCTAGAGAGGTGGCCGCGCCGCGCCGCGCCGCCCCGCTGGGTGTCAACGAGGAGCGACGGGAGCGCCCGAGGGGCCTGCACGTGATCCGGCTCAAAACCAGGTACCGTCGGCACGCGTCCGCTCCCCTCCCAGGCCGCGGTAAAGAGACGCTCCGGAGTGACTGTCCCACTTCACTGCCACCAAAGCGGACGGTGACTCCGCTTAGGGCTGGACTTCGCCAACTTCACCGGCTGTCCACTTTAAAGACGAAGATCAGAACAAGAACCCACGCTCGCCGTCCCTTCCTGGAGCCCCCAGACCGTGGGGAACTACATAGACAGGAACCGCAGAGCCGCGGTCAGCGGAGAGGAGGGCTGCCGGGGTAGCGGACCGGAAACCGGCGTCTCCTCCCCGCCCCCCGAACCAGCTTCCGCCCGCCTGCTGCTGCTCTGGCCTTTTAAGGCAGGCAGACCGCAGCACAGCCGGGGGAAGGCTTGTGCGCTTGCGCAGCGCGGGTTGTCTCCGGGAAGTGTGAGTATCCACGTGGAGGCCCCGCAGGTCGGCCTGGCGGCCTCTGTGTGCCGCAGCCTCCTCCCTCCCGCCACCTAGGGATCCCAAAGGAGTCCCGTTCTCACCCGTGGCAGGTTCGCGGGACTTTTTCGTGGGCTCGAGGAAGGCCCGTCTGTGGCCCCGAGGTGGCAGGAGGGACGGGGAGTCCCGCCGCGGCGCTCTCTTGACCCGCGCGTTGTCCACCAGTATTGCCGATTACCGGTCTCAAGGGTGACTCTACTCCGCCATAACTTGCCATCTAGGGTCAAAGGCAGGGCGAACCGTTAAGATTCAGCTTAAGGATACCTTCGGCTCCATTGTCCCAGCTGAACGTGGGCGTGGAGCAGGAGAACCACAAAGAAAACCACCATCACCACCAAAAACAAAACAAAACCCGGGAGCTGCTGTCCACTCGTGTCCAGACAGGTTAGGTGCCCAGGGCCGTCACTGTCACTTTGTGTACCTTTATGCAGTTCCAAACCCAAGTAGTAGCAGGAGCGTGCCCCTGGTGGAGTTGTAGAGGTCTAGGTGTTTCCCCCTTGGAAGTATCACTTGACAGGAACTCACAGCCTGTTTTTTACTTTGAACTTGTAGAAGAGCTTCAACAGCGTTTTGAGGTTACTAAAGACAATGCAACTTCTGACTCCGGTGTCTTTCAGGATTCTTTTTGCATGACAGGTCTCAAGAGAGAGCTAGACTCAGAAGAAATGGCCTTGGTACCTTATGAGGAGAACTCAGAAATAGGGCTCCAGAAATTTCACAAACCCCTCACCACCTTCTCTTTTGCAAACCACACCATCCAGATCCGTCAGGACTGGAGGCAACTGGGAGTCGCAGCAGTGGTTTGGGATGCGGTAAGTCAGCACTGCGGAGCCTCTGAAAACGTCCACAGTCGTGACTACTCTAGAAAGAAAATGGATTGCTTTATTGAGATAGGATTCACATATGCGCCCCACCAGGGTCAAGTATGCAGAAACACTGGGCTGCTCAGCACATTCATGGCAATGAGCCCATTACTAACTCAATTTATGTATGAGTTTTTCATCGTCCCTGAATTCCCTTTGCTGGCACATGGCATTTTTAAAAGCTGAGGGAAGTGAAATGAGTGACCATTAGTTAGTTGAGTATCAGAAGACTGAAAAGAAAGCAGGAGCCAGGTTGCACCAAGCACTCAGTTCGTTAGTTTCTCAAACACCACACAGAGAATGTGTAGAGCCAGAGCCAGGAATTAACACCCTGTTTTAAGTTTTCCATAGCTCAAAAAGATGATGAGTCCAATCTGCTGTTAAATCAGTGATTGGCATGAAGTCCTCTATACTAGGATATCGCTGTGGGAAAGAAGTAAAAATCACGAGATTGTGAACGAATGTTCACTCCACGGGTGAAATTCCAAAACTTGTGGTGAAAACCTACCTTCTGATGCCCAGAGTCTCCATGGGACAGCGACTCAGCAGGGCTCACGGAGCTGTGGGCATTGAAATGTTTCTAGCTTGGCTCAGGAAATCAAAGCTCATTGAAGAAAATCAGAAGTCACTGAAATCATTTCTTCCAGAATAGCTTTGTAAACATCATGCAAATGTGCTGTGACACAGTAAAAAAAAAAAAAAAAGCTGCTAAGATGCAGTTGGCTCCTAGCCAGTTTGTGCTGTACTGGGGCTTTGGCACATCAAGCCTGTGTTTGCTCTAGTAGGTTGCCTTGCAGCTGCAGCTAAGTTCCTGTGCATTGGGAATTATACTTTGCCAACAGGGAGGGGAAGAAGGAAAGGGGAGAGAGGGAGGGAAAGGGAGAACATGCATGTTTTTGTCCCTTGTGTCTTCCTGCCAGCATTTGGCATCCTGAAGCTGTACAGCTCTTCAAACGCTTGCTGACCTTATTCATATTCACATTGTGTTTTGACTCAGGCCATCGTTCTTTCCACGTATCTGGAGATGGGTGCTGTGGAGCTCAGGGGCTGCTCTGCTGTGGAGCTGGGTGCTGGCACAGGGCTGGTGGGCATAGTGGCTGCCTTGCTGGGTGAGTGCAATGGGCTAGCTCTCTCCTAAGTGGGCAGAACTCATTGAGAGGTACACTTGCTGTTTCCTTAGCAGAGAATGAGTGGTTCAGATTCCCCCTTACTGAGTTAACTTCTTTCTCCCGTGTTGATGAGTTGCTGGCCTGCTGCTGGCGCCCTCAGGCTGGGACTGACAAGAACCTCTTCTCTTTCTCTCATCCTCTTGTTCATACTTCTACTGAGAGGTCACCTTTCTCCCTTTGATTTTATGATGCAGACAACAGAATTGGACAATAACCTTTGTGTACAGTTTCTTTGGCTTAAAATGCTAAGTCCATAGACTACCAGACTTAATCCTGTGAAGTAAGTGGGACAGACAATCCTTGTCCTTCATTGTTGATGAGATAGCTGGGTTTTTCCCCCTAGGGAAGATGGGTCCCTCAAATGTACACTGACATTTTATTTCAAGAAATTATATTGATAGTCTGTAATTCTTAGATGACACCAATCTATCAGCCTTCATCTGATACAAGTATTGATTTTTTTTTTTTCTTGTTGGAGATAGTATCTTAAGTGCTGGCCAGGCTGGCCTTGAACTTATAGTCCTCCTTTCTCAGCCCCCTGAGCGTAAGAAAAGTTTTAAAAATAGAAACAGAACTAAAACATGTCCCGATTTTGAAACCTTGGAAAGGAGTTTTTAGAGTTTATGTTTTGGCAGTCTTAGTCATTTGTCCCTGAATCCAGGGGTCACTTACAAAGTGCCTGCTGGGTCAGTGTGGGTAGCACAGAAAAAGGTTAAGAGAAGTAAATGATGCTCTGCAGAATGGTAGGATTGGGTGTGAGGCTTTCTCAGTAAAAGAGCAGTTCCTGTGTTGGGGGTGGGCTTTGTATTCACAGTGTCATTTTCAGAGTGGACCTGTGTCATAAGTACGCTTCATCATGAGTTCTCATCAAGGGCTGACAAAGAGTTAATAAGTAACCCGCCCAAGGTTACAAAATCTCATGGTGAGATTTTAAATTTAGTTCTGACTTTCAAACTTGGGGTTTTAGGTTGCAAATCCCCAGAATCTTTATGCTGGTTGGGAACTATTTCTAGATGGAAATAAAAATCCGATTTTGAAGATAGGATTCAGTAAGTTGGGTTGAGTCAGAGAATTTGCATTTTAAGAATCTGTGTAATTTGATGCTTAGGTAAGTCTAGAGACCCCTGTCCTAAAATACCACGCTTAGGAAGGTGCTACCTGTTGACTCACTGTCCCTCCATCACAATTCTGTGCTGAGCCTTGGACCCGTGTTTCTGAACACCAGTATTGCTCCCTGGCTGTTGTCTAGTACCTCAAGCAGCACAAGAAAAGCGCAGTGTTTCTTCTCTTCCTGCCTTGCTTCTGAGTTACCATCATTGTCCCAGTAGTCATCCAGGAGTTGAGGGATAGGCTGTATATTTAGTCTCATTCTTAAAACAGCCTCACATGACAAGTAGACCTACTTGGCTTACAATTCTCTTCAGGTGATGTAAGGAATGGGACCACAGAGTTCATAGGTTGTTGTTAGATTTCAAATTCAACCCCCATGAACTCTATGGAGTCTCTTTAACTGTTTCTCTCAGTGCTGATCTGAGCCCTCATCCTCTGTTCCCTACATGACCATAGCCTCCTCCTACCTGGTCTCTGCTTTCTCGTGCTCACTTCTTAGAGAAGCTGTCAGATACTTATCTGTATTGTGCAGTTAGTTGATGATGTGATCCATGTTTAAACATGCCTTTCTTCGTGTTGCTTCGGACTACACCCTAGGCTTGTTGGCAAGACTGTACAGCTCATCAGTGTCTTCCATCTTCTGAGTTCCCAGGACCACACTGAATGAATGACCTTTTCTCCTTCCCCAGCTCCTGGCCTTATATTACATGTAAATTCAGGTTCGCCTTCCTTTGGCCTCTCTCTTGAGGACTAGCTTTCTGAACACATAATTTCTGGTGCACACCGTGTTCTAGCTGATCTGCCTCCACTGCACCACAGCAATTCTTTGCGATCTCTCACTCAGGAGACCAGTAAGGATTTTCCTGCTCAGCTTTGTGTCTCCAGCACATAGTGTATGTTTGAATGTTTAATCACAAGTAAAGCAGTTCACATTGTTTTTCATTCGTGAGTGCCACACACTGTTTTTACTAGGTCCATTTCCATTGCCATTGTCGTTTATGGACTGTATTAGCTTGCTTTTCTGCTAGCAGAATATATCTTAGAGGAAATCATTTTCTCACTGTCTTCTTGTTTGGTCCAACATTGTGCCCTTCCTTACCTTATCTTATTCACCAAGCTGTAACCAACCTAGGTAAAGTGCACGTTTTCCTACCAGGGCCTGTGCTGGCTCAGCTGAGTGTGGCTGAAGTGAACACTATGCTGGTCTCCTCTGGCTGGCGGTAGTCACGTAGATATTGGTAGAATTGGTAAATGTTAGGGTAATGTTCAATTGACATGAAGACCCTGTGCCAGCTCTGAAACACCTAGTAAATTAGTGGTACCTAGAAGGTACAGATCTAGGTACCTTGCCTTTCTACCCAGGGTAGGCATGAGAGAAGTTATCGGAGTAAGTACTGAGCCGCAGCTTAAAGGAGTAGATTGCTCTGTGTACTAAGAAATAGGCAGGTAAGAACTAATTCAAACCAGGAAGGCTGACTGCGGTTTTTACTGTCAGAGAACAGTCATTGAGTTCTGCCTATTGGGCAACACTGTCTGCCAGTGAATCATTAGAGAGGTAGGTCCAGGCTTCAAGACAGCTTGAGCATTTATCAGTAGCTCTACCTGGAACTCATTTAATTGCATACCGCCTCAGTGTTTTCTCAAGATAAGAAACACCTGGTGTGAGCTGCCACTGGAAAGGAGAGATTAGAAAAAAGTGTACAAGAAAGATAGTATTATGAAGGAATAAAACAATTTTCAATCAAAACTAGACTTTGTGATGAGTTGTAATAAGACTAAGCTGATACGGTTGGCTGTGGTTTGGTCTTCTACACACATTGGTTAAAAAAAAATAGACCTTTTACTTCAGTGTCAGTAACCCATCAACACAGATGAGTAAAACACGGTGCCGTTAATTTCCTCATCTGCATGTGGGGTAGTGCTTGGAGAACGTGAACTGGCCTTGTAACGTGTTGGCTGGTATACACTAAGCCTGTCCACTAATTCCAAGGCCAGTTTATCAATAATTACGGATGGCTCACACAGGCAGCATAGCTGCTTCAAAAAAGCACGGAGGTGGCCTGGACATTCTCAGTAGCTGAGTTGTTTCTTGTGATTTTGTCTTAACTTTGTTCCTCTAAAGCAGAGTCTTTTTAAGTTTGTATTTGTATCTTCTCATCTTGATCTTCATATTCTGCTTCTTGATTTCTCATTCTGAGCTCTACTTATTTGAAAGTTATGATCCAGTGAAACAAGTTGAGTGGTGAATGCTCCTGACGGTTGGGCCACCTCTATCCAGGAGCATTAGCTGTGTCATTCTGTGACTCTAAGGGAGGAGTGCCACAGAAGCAGGCTGAAGGTTTACTTTTATTTTTGCAGCATACAAGGAGTCCCATTCTGGTCTAGTTACCTGCCTGCAGAAGGGTGTGGTATTCTGCATAATAGCTGGAATATTTAGATAATGCCCTGTGTTAACTAGTAGACCCTTCCTGTCTACTATGGTTGTATGATTTCACCTTACTTTGTTTGTTCCACATTGTAGGTGCTCATGTGACTATCACAGACCGAAAAGTAACATTAGAATTTCTTAAGTCAAATGTTGAAGCAAACTTACCTCTCCATATCCAACCCAAGGTTATTATTAAGGAGCTGACTTGGGGACAAAATTTGGAAAGTTTTTCCCCTGGAGAATTTGATCTCATACTTGGAGCTGATGTTATATACTTGGAAGATACCTTCACAGACCTTCTTCGAACACTGGAACATCTCTGTAGCAACCACTCGGTGATTCTTTTAGCTTGCCGAATTCGCTATGAACGGGATAGTAACTTCTTAACGATGCTGGAGAGGCAATTTACTGTGAGTAAGGTTCACTACGATCCTGAGAAGGATGTGCACATTTACAAAGCACAGAAGAGAAGAAACCAGAGGGAGGACTTGTAGTGGCATTATTTTCTAACTCAGTGTGTCAGTTAAGGTCGTACAGCTAGAACTCTAACCATGTTAATAGCATGGCAGACTGCAAGGCCATTCAACCAGAGCTGCTCAAGGAACAAAGCACACGTGTGCTTTGTAGACAGATTGATGCCTTGTCCCATTGCTGTAAATGCCAGACATGATTCGCTCACTGCTGAGCAATAAATGTGCAAGTTTGGCTGGTGTTCTTTCCTTACTTCGTGTGCCTGCTTGGTAAGCAGTTTCCACTGACGAGCTGATAGAGTGGTGCAAGTGTCTTTAAACTGGTGAGAGTCAGTCATGCATTCTGGGCTATATATATAGTTTGTCTCCATTTCCTTGTCTGCTGTGTGTTTTACTACATGTGTTCCCTGAAATGCTTGTGCTGTTGGAGTCTCTTGCTTTTTGTGAGATAAAGACTTAACCATAGCCCCAGCTGGATCTGACACTGTAGACCAGGCGGACCTCAAGCCGAGTTCAATTCTCTCTCCTCTGCTCCGAGTGCTGGGATTGCAGGTGTGTGCCATGCCACCTGACTTACCATTTAATCTGTAAGAGGAGGGTGAGTTTTGCAGGTCTCATACTTTTTTATACCAGATTTCAAGAGTAAGTATATAAGCAAAGTATATGTATGTATGTAGATAAGTATAAAGTATACAAGCAAAATAAAAATTTTACATTTGAAATTACCTAAACTTGTGGCTTGAAATTTTCTTCCAAAACTAAGATTTGTTTCAACTTTGCTGTTTCTTTGCGTTATTATCTATTTCTTGGATGTTTTTTTCTGCCTCCTTTTAGTATATCAATTTTTAAAAGATAAATCTCATTTCTTCACAAAAGGTAGCTCCCAAGGCATAAACTGTTTTGTACCTACAATCACTCGTTGATACCAGGATCCCTGGTGGTTTGCAAGGTGCTGGCTGGGTGACCTCTTTCGTTTTGCTTCCCCAGTGTCCAGTAAAAGTATATAATCAAGTCATCAAGGTAAAAACATCAAGGTCATTGATGTTTTGTGGTGCTAGGGATCAAATCCAGGGTTTTGCACACACTAGGTAAACACTAACCCTGAGTTATTACATCCCTAGCCAGAGGTTACTGGTTTTTGAGATTTTTTTCTGGGTAGACTTTATGAATAATATTATTACTTTAATGTAAAAGCTTTTCCTTTTAAAGTTTTGACTAAAAACTTAAGCAGCTTAGACCATAGCATATTTTAATCACAGTGGTATTTGGTAATAGAAATGTGCTATATTTGTTGACTAGACTATTCAAAGACCTCTTTTTTTTTTTTTAAATAAATATTTTGGATACAAGAGTACTTGATAATGTTTTCTACATCTATTTAAAATTGTAGTTGTATTAGTCAGAGCCTTCTCTAAAGGAATAGAATGGGTGAGGGGATCTAGATTAGGGTAAGTGGGAATGTTCCCAAGGGAGGGAGAACAGCAGGCCTGGGATGGAGAGTTTTGGGCTGCATCTGGAAAAGTACTCTAATTCTTTAGAGCTGGATCTTTACATCTGTGGGTTCTGGTCACTGGCTATAAGGGGCACAACCTTGAGCTGAAGAAAATACCTGTAGAGAGGTGCAACTGTCAGAAAATTTATTCCTTTACATAGTAATCAGAATTGTAATTCATACCGTTACAATGAACTAAACACTAGTTTTTTAAAATTGGTATTTTAATTATGTGTGCAGGATAATCATGTAGTGCATATAGAAGCTAGAGTTAGTTGTTGGATCCTGTGGAGCTAGAATTACAGGTTATTGTGAACCGCCTGGGTGCTGGGAATTGAACTTGGTCCTCTGGAGCAGCAGCAAATGTTCCACCTCTCCTGTCCCTGAATGATAGATGCCTGTTACTATTTTAGACAGTCTAAGCCAAGTTGCCCAGGCTGACCAGGAACAACAACTTCCTCTACTTCCTCAAAAATGGGATTACAGAGATACGCCATCACTTCCAGCTTGCCTGCAATATTCTTTCAGCAAATGCAGTTTATACTGGAAACAACACACCACTAACTTTTAGGTGGTCGTAAAGGCAGCTCAATAACACTGCTGCATAAAAAAAATGAATCCATTATGGAAGATTTACCTAAATTTATCACTTCATTTCTGTTTCCTTTCTTCTCTCCTTACCCAAGTATGTCTCAAGAAATAGAGTCTCGGGCTGTTAAAATAGCAAAGCATGCTCTCAATAACAAAGTTACTTGAATGTGTTGTATAAGATTTATCAATAACCTATACCATTTAGCTGCTATGCTTTCCCTGGCCTCTTGAGACATGGTCTCCCTATATAGTCCAGGATGATATTAAACTGATCCTCCTGTCTCAGTCTCTTGCACACTTTTCTATATCCCCAGATAACTTCTATATATTGGAAGCATTTTCCACTAATATTTTTTTTTTCTTTTCTGGTTTTTCAAGACAGGCTTTCTTTGTGTTGCCTGATTGTCTGGGAACTCACTCTGTAGACCAGGCTGGCCTCCAACTCACAGAGATCTGCCTGCCTCTGCTTCCCAAGTGCTGGGATTAAAGGCATGCACCACCACAGACTGGCTTCTACTAGCTTTTTAATAGAAAACAAAAAACAAAACTAAACAACAAAAAACATCAATGTACACAGTATTGATAAGTATTGATACACAGCAACCAACTTAAGAGTTGGTAGAAAGCACGCATATCCGCCCCATAGAAAAGTAGCACTCAAGTTCTTTACAGAAGAGGGCTATCATTGTAGTGAGAGGCTACACTAGCCAGCCAGGAGTGTTCTTGCACTCGCACAAGCTGGATAAATGATCTGGGCAGTCTTTAGTTGTGCTTCAACACTTGAAGACTTATTGCCCAAAGGTTCTTAATGCTGTGAAATTGTAAACACTTCTTGGCAAAGCCAGGAAAGAGTTAAGTTTGATAATTCTGAGAAGGGACTGGAGAGACAGCTCACTGGTTAAGAGCACTGGCTGCTCTTCCAGAGGTCCTGAGTTCAATTCCCAGCACCTACGTAGCAGCTCATAACTCCAGATCCAGATGACTGGAACAAGACATACAAGCAGGCAAAACACCAATGCACATGAAATAAAAATAAATTAAAAAGAAAAAAGGCAGAACACCTGAGGCAAGTCTCAGCAAATAAATACTGTTTATTTGCAAATAACATGGGATGCTGATTATGAAGGTAAAAGGGAAAACTAATGGACTAGAAGTCCATTAACAGAACAACCTTATGCAAAAGTGCCTCTGCTATTTCAAATTTTCTTCTAAAACCAACAAAGGTGGAGTCAGAGATGAAAGCAGCTGAGATGCAGCTCAGCATCAATTACTTGCCTAGCATGCAAGAGCCCATGGTTCAATCTCTACATATTTGAAGATGTAGGATGTGGCAGAGCCCTTGTATGAACAGGGTACTGGGCTCAATTCCAGTATCACAGAAACACATTTAATAAAAAAAGCTAGACACAAACACACACATATTATGATTTCTTTTATTTGTAATAATTGAGATTGCTAAAAAGCAGAAAGCAGACTGTGAGTTGCAGAGGCAGGAAGAAAAAGAGGAAACAGTTGAGTGGGTATAGGACTTTATCCAGGTGACAGAACTGTGAACTACACAAAATGTGTGAATGCAGTTATCACTAAGTGGTTCATTTTACAATATAATTTTGCTACTCATATCTCAATTAAAAGCAAAAATATTCATTCCTGGAAACGAACCTGCTTTTCACTTGATGTTAGTCTTTATCTGGTGAATGCTTAAAATGTGGAGAAAATGCAGTCTTTAACGGGCAAGGTGGCATGGATGAACACAGGACTTTCCCGGGCTTGACAATCAATTTAATGGAAAGTGGCACCATTTATGACATTTTGAAAAATGCCTGAAGGGACAGATTTGGAGGAGAAACTAGAAGTTCTGTTTGAGACTGTGCTTTCCAAAGTGTAACAAACATGAAAGTCTAGGATTCATTGCAAAGCAAGGGGGTACCAACTATACAAAGTTATTGCAATTATATTCTTGGAAAAATATGTTAGACTTTGAGAAAAAGCATTGTCACTCCAGTTCCTCGAAGTGTGTCTTCAATGAATGTCAGTACCAACATGGAGACAGCCATTTTCCAGAGGTCCACAGCTTATAAGTAATATGTAATCACAGGACTGAACTGTTTGGCACAACTCTGGCTTATACTTTTTGTCTTCATAAAATCAATGCCATCCTTTCTTTCTTTCTTTCCTTTCTTTCTTTCTCTTTTTTTCTTTCTTTCTTTCTCTTTTTTTCTTTCTCTTTTTTTCTTTCTTTCTTTCTTT